ATGTTCGACCTAAAAGCAAAATCGTTATCAAGGTAATTGAAAGGCAATTTTCATTAACAATGTTGCGTTTTTTTGTTTGACAGCTTGAAGAAACGACTAGTCTACACACTGAGAAACGGCATAATAAATGTCGCTCTTTTTAACTAATAGTTTCAGCTGCGCAGTTGCATTTTCCATAGAACTTGTGCAAAAACCTTCCTAGGCCACTTAACTTTTGTTTGTACAGTTATTTGGAACAGACCATCCTGAATTTAGTCATGTCTTGACTCAGTCAGTCAGTATAGCCTAAAATAAACAATAAAAATGAAAATAAAAATAAATAAATAGGCTATAAATGAAATCGTTTTAACAGTATTAAATAATACACAGCATTAAAATATTATAAATATTTATAGACCTAATGATAAATGCAAACAAGTAAGACTCAATTTGAATAAGACTTGCTTATTCAAATTTCTCATATGGTAATACAGAAATTTGTGTGTGTTCATTACAGACAGAAAGTGGTCCAATGGTAGGCCTACTTTACATGCTCAACAGAACCGGCCTTATAATCAGCAAGAATTACCAACAAACAGAGGTGAGGTGTAATGGACTTTTATGAAATCACTATGAGAAAATATTCTTCAGTATGACTACTTTATATCTCATTCAGTGCATTTGATTTTAATTAGGTCATGGCTCGAATGTCAAGACACTTTTGAATATAATTATAAAGGATCTGCAGCCCTTAAGTGCTGTGACAAGACATCATCTCACAAGGACTCTGCAATCCTCTTTAGATCTTCAGTTAAGTGCCTCGTGGCTCCGAAATGAGCTACAGAGCCTTTACGGGCACGAGAGGGTGGAAGTACAGAATGCAGTCAATAATGCAAGTAACCTCGCTCTCTCAGCTGAGTTGTGGAGCTCCAGTGAGAAGGTGTTTTACCTGACAGTATCCTGTCACCTAATCAGCGAAAACTGGAAGCTGAAATCGTATGTGCTAGATACAGCTCATTTACTCACCAAGCACACAGCAGAGAACGCAGCAGAGCACCTTTTGAGAATTTCGAACGAGTGGAACGTCACAGAAAAGACCCAGATTGTGGTCACAAATGTTGATGGCATAAAGAAGGCCCATACCAATGGATGCAGATGGACCTATATACCTTGTTTTGCTTATACCCTGGATAAAGTTTTCAGAGAAACCATACTGAGAACCGACTGCGAATCTCTACTCAGGAAGTGTCAGCAAATAGTTGCATTTTTCCACCAAAACTACAAAGCCTCACAAAATCTCCAGGAGTATTGTGCTTCTCTCAATCTCCAGCGAAGTGAACTGACTCAATCCTGTGGTCTAAAGTGGCTTCCTACTCTTCATATGCTGAAGAACATCTCAGAGCAGTGGAAAGCCATTTTTAAGGTTTTTGTCAACAGACGAGTGGATGATCTTTGCCTGAATGAGAATGAAAGAAAAATAATTGAAAACATCGTGGCAGTGCTGGACATTATGAAGGACGTCACAGAGGAAGTCTTAAGTCGAGGGTTCAGCCCCATCTCAAACATAATACCGCTTGTGCAAAAGCTGCAGAAGAGGCTGAGAAACCAATCGGTGGTGAAGAATGGAATAGCAAAGAAACTGTCAGAAATGTGTGACTTTCATATCGGCAACATCAAACAAAACATTTGGTTTAGAGTTAGCACAGCACTGGACCCGCGATACAAAACCAGCGTTCTGCAGGACTCTGGCATTGAAGATATCACAGCAGAAATCAGGAAACAGATCAGGGGAGATCCACACACTGCAGTGCACTGCAGTCATGACACTGAAAGCGAAGAGTCAGTCTTTCAAAAGTACTGGAAAACAACAAGCATTTCAGTGAATGCACTTGAATTCTGGAAGACCAATGAAGAGTTAAAAAAACTGGCAACAGTGGCCCGCAAGTACCTTACAGTGGTCTCCACTGCCATTCCAGTGGAGCGTGTGCACCAGCTGCAAGAATCACGGCTTGTTGACAGGAGAAACTGTCTGGAGCCAGAAAATGTCAATATGATCCTGTTTTTGAACAGCAACCAATGAAGAAAACACATTATGTATGTACGCATACTTTCTGTAAATAATGCTCAGCACTGTAAATGTTTCAAATACTGTCAAAATGTAAATATCTGTTACATGAATGCCATGGAGATATATATTATGGACACTTTTTCTTACACATTTATATATACATTTTAATCAAAAATCTTGATCTAGACAATTTTTTAATGCTTTCCATTTCCTACATTAAATGGGAGCAAAATATAAAAACACACGCACATGCATAGATACCCATGTAATGTGTAAAATTAGTTGCTGTTTTTCCTTCTACAGGTGATCAATGGGACCCCTCACTGGATATGATTATTTCAGATTTACATCCACATACCAAAGTTGAAGAGCTTGAATTCTATGAATGAAAGGTTTCAGTATCTACCAGCATCTGCTGATATACTTTTAAAGCTTCAACAATTGTTTTTCAAAGCAACACAAACTGTGCAAAAAGGTCTGTAGACTGTTGCATTGTCTTCTGTAGTGTGGAAAACCACAGCAAATAAAACCTATATTACAGCTACCTGTCACCTGATCGATAACGCATGGACCCAGCAGTCATGTGTTTTGGAAACCACACCTCTACCCGAAGAATATAAACCCAGTCATTTTATTGTACAGCTTCTGAAAATAGCAGATAAATGGCGAATTGGAAGCAAGGTTAAAGTGGTAGTGACGAATGAAGATGGGATCAAGAGAGACATCAAAAAAGCAGGATGGGATCTCATACCCTGCTTCGCCAACACACTGGATGTGGTCTTCAAGGAGATGCTCGAGGCATCTTCTGACTGGAAAGAGCTGGTGCAAAGATGTTGTAAAATATCAGAGTATTTTTCTAATGTTGAAGCACAAGGTCACCTCAAGAGGGCACAAAAAAAGCTGTGGTTACCGCAACATAACCTGGCTGAGACTAAGGGTGATAAATGGCTTTCTAAGCTAAATATGCTAGAAAGAATCTCAGAGCAGCATGAGGCCATACGCCAAGTGCTAATTGAATTTGACGTTGACTTGTTAAGCAAGCACAAAAAATAAAAACAAAGACAATATCACCCCTCAAGGCATTCCAAGATGTCATATCACCAGCAAAACGATACCACTCACTGTCATTATACATTATACCACAGGTGGAAGCCATAAGGAAGAAGCTAAATGAGTGAGTGGAAATGAGTTTGCTAAGGAATCATCACTTCAGTAGAGCCAAGGAAAACGACTGGCTGACATTGAGCACCACCCTTGACCTGAGATACAGAGACATCACTCTCTCTGAGAAGGAGACTTTCACACGCATTAGTAAAAGGATCATTGCTGAAATGGAACACCTGAATGAAGAGAATCAAGGGAGAAGTTTCCGACAGCCGGACAGTTTTGATATGGCTCTGAAGAGATACTTGGAAAAGAAAACGTTGCAGATTGGATGGGATCCTCTTGCATTCTGGAAATTCCCGAAAGATGAAGACTGGTACCTGAGTGAGGTTGCACGCAAATACCTGGCTGTTGTGTCTACCGCGGTCCCGGCTGACATTGCCTTTGACATGGAGAAAGCCAGACTCGTGGCCAGTCAAAAAAGCAGCTTGGATCCAGAACATCTAAATATGATGCCTTTTCTAAATGCCAACTGTTTCCTTCACTCTTAACTCATTATTTAACAGAGGGGGAAATGATCATAGCCTGTTTGTTGTGAAAGATGAACGGTCACAAAAAATTACCTATTAGCTATTATTGTTATTATGATCATGCTACCAGCACATCATTTAATATTTTAAGGGGTATAGTGGTTAATTAAGGTTATATATTTATCTATTTTGATTAGCAACTATTTACTTTGTAGTTTCAATAGTCAATAATCAATCAGTGACAATATGCACAATACAAATATTATTCATCGGGCTTTGTCTGCAGTTTTTCAGTAGGTGAACTCGAAAAAAAGTTGTGAGATTTGTACACAATTTCTTGTAAATAAGCTTTGCATTGAAAAGAAAAACCTGCTTTTTTAACGCAGAATACGATGGAGATTGTCTCACCAAATATTAGCTATTGTTTGTCAGTTACCTTAAGCTGTAATTGTTGAATGAGGATTGACCACAAGATGGCAGTAGGAACACATTTATGCTATAGGCCTAGATTGAAGCATATAACATAAACACAATATAATACATGTAATATAATATAACAATGTTTTTTTCAGTCCATCCATGCATAAAGTCACATCATGGTGTTCTTACCTTATTCATGTTCACCTTGAATCCACTCCCCCAATGCATTTCCCATAAAAATCCTGTTTGCAGAGATCTGTTGCATCAGCATAAATAGTGCAAACGTAAATTTCTCTTGAGTCAACACACTGGAATAGCTGTGATACAGTAGTTTTTAGCCTGACGATGGTTATTACGCATGTGAATCTACAACACTGGAGAACTACAACATGACCAAACTAGCTCATTGTTGAATGAGGATTGACCACAAGATGGCAGTAGGAACATTTATGCTATAGGCCTAGATTGAAGCATATAACACAAACACAATATAATACATGTAATATAATATAACAATGTTTTTTTCAGTCCATCCATGCATAAAGTCACATCATGGTGTTCTTACCTTATTCATGTTCACCTTGAATCCACTCCCCCAATGCATTTCCCATAAAAATCCTGTTTGCAGAGATCTGTTGCATCAGCATAAATAGTGCAAACGTAAATTTCTCTTGAGTCAACACACTGGAATAGCTGTGATACAGTAGTTTTTAGCCTGACGATGGTTATTACGCATGTGAATCTACAACACTGGAGAACTACAACATGACCAAACTAGCTCAGGTATTTTGTTTTACTCTTTAAATTATGATTCGCATGAACATAAATACAAATTACGGCCCTCTGGTGAAGTTTGCAGCTTTTTCTTTTATTGAAAAATATAACTGTCATTTTGCAAGGGAAAGTAAGGCAGGTCATTATTTATATCATTTCAGTACAGAATGATACAGACATTAAGTGAAAAAAGATAAACAGCAAATACTTGGAAATGGTTTTATACTATATTTTAGTGTTTTGTCAACCATTTTCTGCAGCACCTGTAGGAAGATGTGGTAATATAAATTATTATAAACCTCTGTGCATAATCAAGCAAAGAAATTATACTATGCTATTGTATATGGACGGTAGAGTTTTGTCTCTGTAAGCATAGACACAAGTAAAAGTATGAATGTCCTGAAAGAAAACTACTCCGAAACTGTAGAGGGAGCCCTGCTGCTCTAAAAACCTGTTACAGTCCAGCGTTCCAGCTCACTTTCAGTCTCACAAATCCAGTTCCGGACATCTGGTCTTCTTCAAAAGCTTTGCATGCAGTCTGATATCTCCACGACCACTTCTTTAACCCATAAAATGAACAAAAACTGGGCAACAAAAGAGAGGAAGAGAAGACATTGGCACATTTGATTATCCTCCATTTGTGCTGGCAGACCAAACAGCACAATGCAGCATTTTGACCAGATATTAGGCAACCCAAGCCCCTCGTACCCCATTAATAAAGCCCTTTCCAAACCATTCTATATACCCACACTGAAAAACACTCTAGGAAACATGGAGTCAGCATTACAAACATCTTTCTTACAAACCGTACCTTACTTGTTCCTCTGTACAAACATGCTGATTTCACAAACCAACAAAAAACACTGACAGGTGAGCAAGGAAATAATGTAGCTGTAGTCTTGGGAGTGTTAAAGCTGATGTAAAGCCTAACTGAGCTCACAAAGTGAAGGTAAAAGGCCACAGAGAGATCTGTACAAACAATTATGTACCACTGAAACCAAGCGTTTACAAAAATAACTAATTCTACAAAATGGTGCTCTCTTGAGTGCAGTGTGCTTATATAAATGTCAGATTACAGGGCCAACACTGTTGACTAAACAATAGCATCAATCAAAAGACTCAAATATACAGTAAATGAATAACTGAACATGATGTACATATATCAAGAGTGGAATGCTTTTAAATTATCTCCCCAAAACATAACTTTGTGTCATAGGGGGAAAAATAATCTCGATTCCCAAAGTGCACAATGAACAGTTAATACTTGCTTTAATAGATGGTAATTATTTTATGTTTTCAGTGGTAAACCACAGCCTATAATAGTGTTAAGTATATTGCCAGTATTTGGGCAAATTTGCTGTTAGCATAGTTTGTGAAAGTCTCATAATAGAGACCTAAATGTAAAGTGTGTAATTTCTGTGGCACTAAACAGAATTTCAAAAATAACGTTTTAAACATTACCAGACTGCCACTGGTCAAACAAATGCGTGGCCCCGCCTTCAAACTCTCACGATTGGTTGTTATGGAATTACAATCCAAGTAAAGATTCCAACTAGGGGGAAAAAAACCCCCTGAAAATTGCAGTTTAGTTTTTTTTTAGATTCCATTTTAGTGCTGCTGATGGTGCAGAAATTACACACTTCACCTTTAAGGAAAATTAGTGAAAGCTTTACATAACTTTGTAACATAAAATTGGATGATGGATCGAGTTTGCTCATTTTATATATGTTAAATAATTTTAATAAAGTACAATTTTGTCTACATTTAACTGATGCAAAGGGTATGGCACTAACTCACAGAGTGGCTATACAAGTTACAGTCTCATCATGGGGTGTTGATCTCTCTTCAAACCTAAATACAGAAACACAAATAACTATAAGAGTTATTCAGAGATGAAAACCCTCCAGATCCACTTCTGCTGATGAGCACAGCTTGAAGTTCGAGGCACTACACTAGACCATGAATAAGAGTGCTACGCTCTTCATCTCTGAGCCTATACAATGATAATCAAATAACACACTCCTCAGCCCTCTTGATATCAATCCTCATTCTCTCACACACACACAAATTGGCAATTGGTTCCACTTGGACTGATTCTACTGCCTACAAGTAATGCAACGTCACCACTGCTTTTGGTTTCTGCATCCCATCAATCTGAAATCTCCATGATTGAGAATTTCATGATACCTGACAGGAAATCCCACAAATAACTATAAAATCATTCAGAGATGAAAACCCTCCAGAGCCACTTCTGCTGACGAGCACAGTTTGAAGTTCAAGGCACTACGTTAGACCCTGAATAAGACAGCTACACTCTTCATCTCTGAGCCTTTACAATGATAATCAAATAACACACTCCTCAGCCCTCTTGATATCAATCCTCATTCTCTCACACACACACAAATTGGCAATTGGTTCCACTTGGACTGATTCTACTGCCTACAAGTAATGCAACGTCACCACTGCTTTTGGTTTCTGCATCCCATCAATCTGAAATCTCCATGATTGAGAATTTCATGATACCTGACAGGAAATCCTCTTAAACATGCATGGACCACATGACAAAGTTCAGATCTACAACATAAACAACTTTCGATGGGAAAAGGTAACATATGCCAGAGATAAAGCGTTCTGTTGAACCTCCAAACACGTTTATGGTATTCCAATCATCTCACCATTTACATCATTATGGTTTTGTATACAAGGCAAAATGTAGGATATAACTTAAAGATGGAATCAAAAGCTGTAAAACACACAGTAGGAAACTTAAGACTGTTGGCGTTGGTATTTTTTTAAATTTAAAGTTTAAAGGCATAAGCAAGAGTACTGCGTCGATCATGGGAGAATGTGAGGCTTGGTTCCAAACAAACCTCCTGTATCAGCATTCCAAGTGGTCAACACTGGAATTCATTAATGATACTCACAAGACTGTAATTACCATTTGAAATGGAATTCCCTCGCCATGGCATATGCAAACACGCAAGCACATTCCTCTCACAGCTGTGGTGGCTCTGGTGAAAGTCACTAGTAAAAGAGGGTTTATGTACCTGATCTAGAAAATGTAGTGAAAAAGCCTTTAGCAAGGGCTAAAACATACGTTTTCCCTTTCATCTCCATTATAAAATCAGTCCTCCAAGTCAGTGTACGAGCTTTAATTGACCACAACCAACTTCCACCATTTATTTTAGTCTTTGCAAAGACTGTTCTGGCACCTTATGGTTCACTTTACACCGTAATCTCGTCATCATCGTCGTCATCATCCATGTAGGAGAAGTCCCTGTCGTCTTGAACTCGAGGTGAGCTGTACTTGATGTTGTTCGTGTTCCCCTCATACATCTGATTGTGGGATTTTTCATCTAGCACGGTGGACCCTGAACTGGAGAGGGAACAGCTGTCCAGGTTTTGATGGTTCCTGGTTTGGAGCTCTGGAGTGTAAGGGTTGGTGCCTGGCCTTTGGCGTGGGGGCCGGATTGGAGGAAGAGGGTCCTCTTCTTCCACCTCGTTGGGAGGGCTTTGGGGCGGCGAGCTGCGTCCCTCGCTACTCTTCCCCTCTTCAAATCCCAGATCGTCATCGTCAATGCCCTTCTTGTCCATCACACTCAGGATGTCACCCAGCATGGAGGGACCCAGATCAATGTGGAAGGACATGATGGACTCGGCATGTTTCATGCCTCCGGTGTAAGGAACCGATGGACGCAAGTCAGTCAGCTCTCCAAAATTCCTCTCGTCCAGCTCCAAGTCTGATACAGCAGATGCCGTGGCTCCATTAAGCGGCTTTACTTCGTCTTCTGGAAGTTTCTTTAAAGGACTTGAGGACACGCTTTTGGGAAAGTGGATTCCAGTACCTCGTCCTGTGTCATCGTCATTCAAATATGGCAGTGAGATTGCGTTTTTTACATAACTCGGCGAGCCACCAGGGGGCGCCAGTTTGGATATGTCAGGCTTGTCACGATTGGCCGACTGCGAGCGCTTGCTGCTTCGGAAAGTACGAGAAAGGAGGCTCTGTTTAGGTGAGCTCTGCTGTACCTCCGGCTCCTTTGGTGGCTCCCCTGAGCGGCTGCTAAGAAAGGAGGTGTCCCCGAACGCATCGCCTCCTCGACCCACGTGCATAGTGTGACGGAAGTCTCCCAGAGGTGCGCTGATCATCTCCGCAGTCAGGTCAGCACGAGAACGCCGTTTCGACTGGGAGGACGAGGACACAAGCTGCTTCAGAATAGGCATGATGACTTCTCAAATACTGTCCACAGAAAAATAAAATCACCAATGTCACCAAACTTTCTTTGCCAAGAGATGAGTCACTTTTTCCTATGAAGGTATAGATCCAGGACAGTGGTCAGGATGAAAATTATTCCAAGAATCCAGGACACATGGCCATTTTTATCCTTAAAGTATAGTGTCCAGCCTTCGACATCTGCAATTCGACCTATGATAGAAGAGAAAAGACACAATAAATGTCATTTTATTACAAGGCTGACATTTTATTACTGAATCGGAGATTCTCTTTTAATTTTAGAACTTGAGTTGAACCGTCAACTGATGGAATATATTACAAGTGGAAATTATTGGAATTATACATGATATTTGGAATTTTGACCTATGCGACATCACAATGATATCACATATTAAATTTATGTCCCACTTTGTTTTAAAGGATTAATTATAATGGAAAATTGGCTTTGCAAAAGAAACAGATGAAGCAGGAATTAAACCACACAAATTACACACCAAATTCTAGGTTCTTATTATTACTGACTTCTATTAACATGTTAGCATCAATACTGCCATAGGACATCAGTGCTCTAAAAAAAGATCCTGGAAAAGCACACAAAAGACTCCTCTCTTCAACCTGTGAGTATATACTGTTATATTTGGATAGTAACTGCAATTGTAATTTAGTAAAATAACAATGTTATTTTTTTTATTTGAGTTCTGCAAAACATGACGTTTGAATTAAAGTGGCCTTGTTTAAAAAATAAGACAGATTGTACAAATGAAAACAAATAAAAGGCTGCAATGCAGATTTCGGGTAGTAATGTGGTCCAAGGCACAAATCCCCTTTCTTTCCAAATCCACATTCACTTTGTGATTACATAACCATAAGCTCAGAGGATCCTGGGAGCCCAGAGCTGTAAAGAGTTGCATTTCTTCTTAAATTCAACTCCATCCAGTGCAGAATTCTCTGTAGTGTGCCAGACTCTTATATCATGAGGAAATCTAGACCTTTACTCTTTGTTGTACTCCACTGCAGCTGCCTCCTTCCAGGCCTTGTGCTGACAATGTAGTTTTTCCTTTTCCCCAGACAACTTGCTTGCATTTTTCACCCTTCTTTTTGAACACTCCTTCCTTTTTGTATGTAACTGGGTATAGGAATATAAGGACTTTAAAGATTATAGTTCCACTTAATTTGGATCACATTCTTACTGCTTTTATTGTCTTTAGGAGGCTGGTGTCAAATGATGAGAACTACTTTTAAATTGCCAATAGCTCTTGAAATCAACAACATAAAAACTCTGTTTCCCATAATTACTGATTTGCATTTATTGCATTTAGTGTTTGAAAGCTTCTGGATTCATTTGCACAGACAAAATTAAACAAAAGTATTAAGACCATGGCTAAACATGGTTTAAGGTGGTTCTTGCATTCTTCCACTGATGGAACAGCATCATTTTAAACTTAATGAAAATCACAATTTCTGGAATTTTTAAATATGTAAATAAGTTAATGTGAATAACTTGTTAGGGTTAGTGTAAATAGGGTTAATGTAAGTTAAATAAGATAATGTGAATATATACATAAAGCAAAAAGCAAACAAATAAATAAAATAAGCAAATAAAGAAAGAATAAAATTCTGTTTAGCTTTATAAAATATATTAAATTTACTGTTGTTGTTATTTTTATTATTTATTCTATTTTTATTATTATTTTTTTTTTTTTTTATGGGACTTATTTTGTTTTGAACAAGAACCAGTTCTTGATTCCCAGCTCTATTTGAAACCACTTTGTCCTTTGCATTTTTTGTCCTTTCTCTTAAAGTGAATCATTTTGCATGTCTCGGAAGACTAATGACGGTTGTATCATCTTATTGTAATGTCACTGTAGAGGGAATGAAAAAAGGAAAGTGAAAAGTTGAATAAATACGAGATAATTCAAGTGTTCTTAATCATTGAGTTCACTGAACTTTCTGATTCCCAGCTGGGCGCTGTGATTTATGGTTTAATAATCTGATTATCTGCTTCTTTACACAGGGGAGGCCTATTAGCTTTCACTGACCACCAACAGCAAACAAAAGACTTGAGACACACCAATCCCTCAAACAAACCATGATCAAAGACACCAAGTTGTTCAACAAACATAATTCTAAAAAAGACAAGTCTGATTTCTCTGAAACGGAGATGGAAACATATCAACAAATTGCTTGTTGCCGTCTAGACAGTTGTCCACAATTCTCCATGTTTTCAAACATGACTTCATAGCCACCCCTGGTTTGTGTGCATGCCATCTGGATGAATGAGATCCAGGCAACAATATTCCAAAGACACGTCACCCCACCAAAACATTTGCATCTCTGACAACAAAAGCCCATTGAGCGACTGTAGTTGTGAGAGAACAGAAGAGGGTTTGATAAACAATAAGCTCCCCACTTTAGTAAAAGAACTGGGTGTCCCTGTGGAGGATTCAGCTCTGCCCGCTAGCAGGTTGACCTCATTGTTGAATCACAGAATATCGCCCCATTCTGAGGTCTCTAGATAGATGTGTTGTGTGTGTGTGTGTGTGTGTGTGTTCGCATGCATGCACAGTAATGCAAGACAGCCTAGTTCCCAAATAAAGGATTTTGATCACATAAATCACATACTTCTGTATATTTATTTATTTTTCAGTTTTTTTTAGTTTTTTAGTGTTAGGCTGTTTAGGCTTATTCTGCGGTGTTTATATAAGCCTTTTGACGTGTTGTGTCATGGAGCTGTAAAAACGGGTACACTCACTAAGTGAATGAATCACGTTTGTGCCGAACTCTTATTACAAAGCAAAAACAAACACTCTCCTTTGATCCTTGAACGTTTTTCTCAGTTAATGTACGCGGTCTCGCAGTCTGAAGCGTCTGTCATAGCAAATCAACACATGCTGTTGTAAATAATTAAGCGAAGCATCTTCTCATAGGAAAAGAACACGCAGTCTAATGAATAATTTAATAGACACCGACGCGTCATCGATGTACTAGAGTCCATTGCCACGTCACAAATTGTGACGTCAACACAATGTAGATTTTAAACCCGGAAGATGAAAATAGCGCAAAAAAGCTTAAAATTAACCAGTTTTCTCCAACAGTTAGAACTATCGAATGCTAACACTGTCTTCCATGATGTGCAACACAAACACCTCTGCTAAAATCTCAGAAAAAGTAGTCTGGGGTTTCATGACCCTTTAAAGACAAAGCCATTAAACTTTAAAAGATTCAAATGATAAAATAAGTTATTTTTATTTTTAACATTATAGCTCTTATATGGCAACTGCTTAGCAACTTACATTTAAAATGCAAGGTTTGCTTATAAACAAGATCACATTTGAGGTATGACTATATACTATTTATTGTATGCTGTAGAACAAAATGTGAAAGTCTCTTCAAGTAATAATAATCTCAGACCTCATTTTACTCATAAATTGAAAACCGCAAGGAAAATTCCCAAGGGAACCCATGCAGAATTAGCCTTCCGGATTGGCCTGAAAATTGATGTCATAAAATCACAAGTGAACAGCTCTATTGCTCCAATGGTAGGAAAATCCCTAATTATGGACTGTATATATGGCTCAGGGGGCATGATTAATTGCAATATATTCAACTGGTTTGCTATAAAAATGTTATAGAATTATGCAATTAATTCAGTTTATTCTATTAATTCATGAAGTTTTGATACATAAAAAAAGAAATGTTTTAATTAAATTAGTAAAAATACCTTTCAATACAAATCTAAAAATATATAGTCTACATTGACTTAAAAATAAATAATAAATAAAATTATAAAAATAAATAAATCCATATTATAAATCCATAATCTCCATATTATTTGACTTAATGGGAATTGGAAGCTAAATGACAAAAAAATAAAATAAAATAAAAAGAGGAGTAATTAAAACAACAAAATTAAATTTTTTGTAAGTTTAGATTAATAATACTACTATTAATAATAATAAATATAATTTAAATATATTATTTATCATTTTTATTATTTTATACACATTCACCTTATGTTGTCAAATGTCATGAATTGAATAACCAATCTTCACAAAAATACAGCGAGTCTTTGGTCCTGTTTAGGCATGGGCTGATTACCGGTTTCAAGGTATACCGCGATTTGAAAATTTCACGGTTTCAAAACCGCTAATATTTTCCGTTATACCGTTCCTGCAGTATGCGCTGTTTTTCATGTCTCCTCAAAGACTGAAAGTGTAGGAATCCCTCAGGTTGAGTGCAGTGTAGAGAGTAATAACACGAGCCTCTCCCTCCTGTTGGTGCGAGCGAGCGGTCAGTCACGTGTGTGTAGGATGGCCGAACTTAAGGAGCTTCCCCTGGAACTTATGCAATCGGCAACCGGCCGTTTTTTGTCTTATTGCAAGCAACTGAACTATTGGAAGAAAATCCTCAATATTTATTTGGGGGGTTTATATGAATGTGTTTCTGAGGGGAACTGACTGTCTTCAGAAAAGTTTACGTGGTATTTTCTTTTAATCTCGTCTCTGTATTGTTCATATTAAAGCAGTGTTTTAGCGCATTACTGCTTTGTTTACAGCGTTAACCAAGGAAACGCCGTATCTGGTGTTCCAGAAGCGCCTCCTGCTGTCAGAGAGTGAATCTGCATCTCATTCAGAGCATCTACTGTTTGCTTCGCTCAGGCATGTAGTACAATTTCACAAAGCTAGTCAGAACATTCTGTTTTTGCTTCAAATTGGGTTATTATTAAATCAAATTATGTATATGAAATTATATAACTAAATGACATGAAATTATATAAATTATATGCATACTATATGAATTATATAACTAAAATTAAATAACTAATTACAGATCAAGATTAAATAAAGATGTCAGTCTTTATTTTTATTCTTTTTAGGAAACAAATCAAAGAAAAAATAAACAAATTCTACTGTTCCTAATATTCTGTATATATAAAATATATTGTGTTCAGTGGAAAATTTTTGTTTTTTTCCCCCCAGTCATTTAAAAATAACACATATTAGAGCTGTAACGACAATACCGTGATACCGTGAAACCGTGATATTTTTTTTTAATTAAAAATATATTGTGTTCAGCGGAAAAAAGTTTTTTTTTTTTACCCAGTCATTTAAAAATAACGTATTTTAGAGCTGTAACAACAATACCGTGATACCGTGATATTTTTGCTTAAGGTTATCATACCGTCAAAATCT